TTTACATTCTATATATACAATACATTAAAAAATTTTAAAAATAGTAAAACTTATAAAAATAGTAAAGATGTATTATATATATATATATATATAGATATTGTAGATTTGTATATTTGAGCATTTTTGAAAGATCAATTTTAGAGATCAAAACAAATAGAAAAATTGATATAATCTTAATTGAGATTTATTTATTAAATTATAAATAATTTATGTTTACATTAAATAATGTAAGATGATATTATGATGAAAAAATGAAAATTATCTTATTCTATTATTGTCTTCATCTAATATAAATTTAAATTGCTTATAACTTAATAAATAAGCCCTAATAATATTTATATAAATATATATAATAACTTTTGTTATTATATTTGTTTTGACCTGAAAGAATCAATCTCTCAATTGCATAAATATATATTAATTATAAATAAATATTTATATCATATTTTCAGTGAATGTTGTATATAATTAAAATTATTAATTATAAAATTAATTTGAGAATACGATTTAAATTTGAGAAATTCTAATAATAATAAACATCATAGAGATAGCTTACTACTAGATCATCTGTCTTTATTTCTAAATCTTTTTCCTGTTTAATGGACATGTTCGCTTGCTCAGAGTCCACTTGCATTTTCTCTTCACCTTTCTTTTTTCTCCTTTCGTGATCTAGTTGTTTCATCAATTTTTTGCTCCTGGATGATTTCTTCACTTTAAAAACTTCTCCATCATCCGCTGAAAATTAAATTATTAGATTTTATTATGAAAATAAATAATATAAAAATATAATATATTATAATATATTTAAATAAACAAAATAATAATAAAATATTTTAAATCTATTTAAAAAATTTTACAATGGTTTAATATAATATTGATATTACATTATGTTATATTATATAATGTAATATAATATTTAATTTTTTAATATTAAAAATAAAATTATTTATTATAAAAAAATATTTTTTCTTATAAGAAATTATAATATAATAATTTTATATTATTAAATATACTATTTATTCAATCATTTTTAGAAATAATAATATTTCTATTATCCGTTTTTACTATTAATTTGACTAATAAATTGAAAATTTAATTAATTTAATTATTAATTTAATTAATAACATTTTTTCTGTTTTATGATTTTAATTTAATAAATATAAAAATTTTAATTTTAATATCATAATCATTTTCCTTAAGTAAAATTATTATTAAAAATAATTAAGTTACTATATATAAAAAAATCTGAAATACATATTTTATATATTTTATAATAAGTATATATATATATATATATATGTGTGTGTGTGTGTGTGTGTATAATTTTCCAATTATATTTCCAAAAAATTACCTTCTTCTAGCTCCTCTCCAAAACTGAGGAGCGTCTGCTTTGGCTTATCCTTCTTCTTTGTTTTTGACTTTATAGGCTGGGTATCCTCCACTTCCATCCTATTTTCATTATCCTCATCGTCGTCGTTGAAAGGTCGACGGCGGATGTTTCTCTTCGGTTTATTAAATAATGACATTGTCCTTAACATCAACCAGTCTGTTTAAACTATTTGCACATATACTATTCTTAGGTTAACTTCTTAAATGACTAATGTTAAAAAAATAATTCGAAATTTCATAGCATATAAGCTAATATAACAAAAAATATTATAAAATATGTGATTATGCCTTCACACGATGGATACTAAACTTATAAATATGAGATTGATCAAAAAAATGCAACACCTTTGTGAAATTGTGATATGAATTATATGCTGAATATGAAACGTTGTAAGATAAGTTCGAAGTTTCGAAGTTAAGCTTCTAAAACTTGTATACATGAATTGCATTTCACTGTTTGAGTTACTGATTGGCTTTCAGTCTTCTTGTACTTTATATATATTACAATATATATAAATATATATTTTTAATTTTTAAAATAAATTTTTATTTTTTTTGTAATTAATTTAGTTTTATAACATTACAAATGTTTATTTCTTATTTATATTAAGATTATTATTTTATATTAAATTTTCAATTATTTTATATTAGACTTTATTAACAGTAAATGTAATTTAAAAAAAAAATACTATAGCATTATCAGTGTAGACAACTTTTACTATGATTTTAAAATTTACTAGAAACAATATATGAAGAATCATTTTATAAAAAGAAACAAAAATTTAATTTTAATAATAATATTTATAATATAAGTATGTAAAGTAATTTATAATATAAGTATGTTTTATTTATTTATTTATTTTGCATTAATTAATATATTAATATATTATAAAATTTATCTATTTTAATATTTATAATTTATATTACAGATAATATAACAAATATGAAAGATCATGTGTGTGTCGATATTCACGGTCATCATACCGATATTATTTTGAAAGTTTACAGGTAATATTAATTTTTTATATAATACAATATAAGTTTATTATACATAATAAGTTATAAACAAATATTATATATGTAAGAAAACAATGAATTTAGACTATTTAATTTTTTAAATCCATAATTAAAATTATTAATATATTAATATATTTGTTTTTTTTAGTAACCGTTTATTGTTAATTGTAACACAATTTAAAAAATTTGGATCACTAATATCTATAAGTCGTGGATCTTCATTTAATCAATACAATAATAGTATATATTCTACTAAGTAAATATTATTATTATTATTATATTTATAATTTTAAATTATTTTATTTTAAATTAAATAATTTATTTTAGGGTATTATTTGGAAAAGATGATGTTGAAGTTATAGCAGCTGCCCGCTATATAACAGAACAGATTAATACAGATAAACCATTATTAATTTCAATATCTTTGAAAAATTATGATTCAAATATTTTGAAAACAATAGTTACTACTATAAATAATATGATAGCATAATAATATTATAAAGAAATAAATTAAATATGAGTTTAATATTTGGTCAATTAGTTATAGGTCCACCTGGAAGTGGAAAAACTACATATTGTCATGCAATGGCTAAATTTTTAGAAAAACTTGGGAGAAAAGTAGCTATTATTAATATTGGTAAAAAATAAACAATAATTATTATAATTGAAAATACAAATTTAAAAAATATTTAAAATATTTAAATGACAACATTATATTTTTAGATCCTGCAAATGAAAACATGGAATATTCACCTATAATAAATATATCTGAATTGATAAAACATGAAGAAGTGATGTCACATTATGGACTTGGTCCAAATGGCGCATTAGTTTATTGTATGGAATTTTTAGAAGCTAATATTAAGTGGTTAATTACAAAAGTTTTAAATCTAAAAGATCATTATCTTATATTTGATTGTCCAGGACAGGTATATTTTTATATTCATATATAAATATTATTAAAATATTTCACATTTATTGTTAATATTTATTTACAGGTTGAATTATATACACATCATAAATCAGTTAGTATAATTGCAGAAAAATTAGGACAAAATTTAATAAGATTATGTAGTGTACATCTTGTTGATTCTCATCACTGTAGTGATGCTGGTAATTTTTATAATCATAATTCTATGAACAAACTTTTATTTTATTTTTAATATATTAAAATATGTTATATTTTTGAATTACAGGTAAATATTTATCTTCCTTAATTCTTTGTACAACGACTATGTTAAAATTAGGTTTACCTCATATTAATGTGATGACCAAATTTGATGAAATGAAAAAATTTAAACATTGCTTAGATTTTAATATAGATTTTTATACTGAAGTATTGGATTTAAAATATTTGCTAGATAAATTGGATGAAAATCCATTTACATCAAAGTAAGATTCCTTATTGAGTATTTTAATTTTAATATTTATTTTTAATAAATTTGTATAAATAAATAAGTTCAATTATAAAAATATATTCTGAATATTTAATAATTTTAGATACAAGAAACTAAATGCAGCTTTTGTGTCATTAATAGAGGATTACAGTCTTGTCAGTTTTATACCATTAGATATTTCTAATCAAGCACTGTTATTACAAGTAAAAAATGCAGTGGATAAAGCTAATGGATATATATTTGGTGGAAATGAACCTCAAGATGTTCAAACTTTACTTGCTTGTGCTGTAGGAGCAGTGAGTGAAACTGAAAAAATATCTACAATAGATACATATTTTTAAAATATTTTTTTTAAGTTTTTTGTTTATTTTATAAAAATCAATTAATTTCATTATTATATCTGTATATTCTATTATATATTAATAAAACTTTGCTATATATTAAATAAAATATAAATTAAATTAATAAATATTTTTACACACTTATTAATTTTTTATAACTAATCTGTTTGGCTAACAAATATTTGTGTTAAATCATCATAATCATATACCCTATTCAAAAATGTGTCCTTTAATTTTAATCCTGAAATTGTCTAAAATATATATATTATTATTAAATATATTAAAATATTTATAATATATTAAATATTAATATAATATATTAAAATATTTATATAAAAATACTTACTATAATACCACTACGTAATGCAATTAAACATAAAGGAATATCTATTGAAACACCAGGTTTTAATGTTCCTATCATTGTATTAGATATTCCACACCATGCTATAGAATTATTTGATTCCAAAATTAACATTAAATCCATACTTCTTTCTCTAATAATAATGAAATAAAATTTAATTTTATTAATAATTTTAATTAAAATATTGAAATTTAGATTAATATTAATTGGAATTCTAAATCATTTTTTTAATTTAATTTTTCATACATATATGATATAAATACTTACGACGTATTTATTATATGACAATTAAAATTCATCATTTGTTCAAGATAAACTGTAAGAGGAATATTTTTCATGGTAACTCGTATATCACCATATTCAGGTGCCTAAAATTAAATTAAGAATTAAATTAAGGATAAAAACAAAATAAATTACAAATAAAATTGTAAAAAAACAAACCATTCTTTGTAATTGACTTGTTTGTAATCTTCCTCTTTCTCCCAAGTTACTTCTCCAAACAATATCTAATTTTCCAATATTTGTTGCATTATGCATCATTTTTGGATCTTTCAATAAACTTATTTGTGGTTTTAAACAATATAAATACTGTCTGCTACAATCAGTATCTAATATATTAACTGATCCATAAATAGACTCTCCTTTTTCATTTGTATTTAATGTTGATACTGAAAATATAAAAATGATTATCATATTTATTTAAATTTATAATATTTAAAAAAAAAATCATTCATAAAAATTATACTTACCACTAAATAAATGAGATGATTCAAGTGAAACTTTTTCTAAACAAATTGGACCAGCTGTAAGATTCTGTATTTGTGCTTCAAGATATACTTCATCTGACTTTAAAAAAAATTAAAATTGTCAAAAAATATTATTTTAAACAAATGTATAAGTAATTGATTAAATATAATATTTTATCAAATTATTACCTCTGCATTATAAAATTTTGTTTTAACATCTAATGGTTTTACTACTTGAAATTTAAAATATTTTCTAAATGATTGTGCAGTATTACCTAAATTTACAGGAGTATAACTAACTTCACATACTAGTCTAGAAAATTATATATATTACTAATTATTTACCAAAGATATTACATAACTTGAAATTTTACTAATAAAATATTCTTACATATGTGTGCCTATTTCTTTTACTTCATGATGTATAACTTCATCAACTGTATTATCAGGTGCTAAATCTTTCATTTCTCCACTATTACCACAAAGAGATATAATTTGAGTACTTGTTTGTAAGTCTGCCTGAAATAAATTATTATTAATAATTTATATATATATATATATATATATATATAT